GCTTATGCACAGGGAGACAGCTCAGGGGGCAGGAGTGCATGGAGGGATGGACACTGGGAAGAGGTAACTATGGGGAGGAAGTGGGAGGGGAGCTGTTACATTGTGGTAAACTGTGGTCAATGGCATGAGACAAAGTATATGTGAACTGCTGTATGGAAATTGAATTTGTTCTGCAAATCTTTACCCAAATTACAATAATGAAAAAAAAAAAAAGAACTATCTATATGGGTCAGCAGACAATGTTTCTATAATTTTATTTGTATGTTCTGTAAGAATTCCCAGGTGTATAGAAGAGCTGGCAAGGAACAAGGTTGTAGTCACTTCTTGGGCACAGCCAGCTACTCAGAGGGAGCAATCAGTGGAACAAAACTCAAAATCATTTGGGGGTAAAAAAAAGGGACCAGGTTTGCTGCTCTGGTAGAGCCTGGTTGAACCCCTGAGACTATGGCCTCTAGCTGCCCTTCAGGTCTGGAACTGAACCCTGTGGCTTGTAGCCAAACAAAAGGCAAGCATATGAGGTGAACATTTATACTACGTAGATACACTCCTTGGAGAGAACAATCATGGAGAGAATAGAAGGGCTGTGTATGCATAGGGACATAGCTCAGGGGGCAAGAGTGCATGGAGGGAAGGACACAGGGAAGAGGTAACTATGGGGAAGAATTGGTAGGGGAGCTGTTGCATTGTGGTAAATTGTAGTCAATGTCATGAGACAAAGTGTATGTGAACTGCTGTGTGTAAAGTGAATTTCCTCTGTAAACTTTCACCCAAATCACAATTAAAAAAAAAAAAAGAACTATCTATATGGGAAGCTCTGGTGGCATAATGCCTAAGACATTTGACTGCTAACCAAAAGGTTGGCGGTTCAAATCCAAGAGCCATTCCCCAGAAGGGCGGTTGGGCAATCTACTTCCACAGTGATACTGCCTCAGAAAACCAAGGAGGGATCGCTATGAGTTGGATCTGACTTTATGGCAGTGAATTTGGTTTGTTTTTTTTAATGTGGGATCAAGCCGATGACAGCAATTCAAAAGATTAGATAGGAACCTTAAAAGGCAGTGAATTTATGCTAAGGGGGGAAGGACAACTCAGAAATGGAAGGTGAGCATGGTTACTCAACTTGGAGAATGTAATCAATGTCACTAAATAGTACATGTGTAAATTGCTGAACTGGTGTATGTTTGGCTGCATATATTCTCAACAACAGCAAAAGTTTTTTTAAAAAATGATCAAAACCATAAATACATCAAAAAAGGACATAATTCTGTTTGAAATATATCAAATATATCAAATAAAACCCAGAAGATTATAATGATACAATGCTAGATACCTGAAACAACTGAAACTTATCCACTTTTATCCAACATTTATAAAGTATGGTTCTAATTAATTTCCCCTGACTTTTACCTAAGAAAACAAAACAAAACAGAAACACATCTTAAAAGGGTCATTACCCAAACAAAATTCATTTCATAATGTTGACAATTCAGAAGTTGCTTGTTTCAAATAATATATAGTTTCAGAGGGAAGTTTTCTGACACTTTCTCTGGCAGACTTGATGGAAGTATACTACATAACATCCTTCCTCTAGTCCTTACGTTAGTTTACTTTGAGTTCTCTCACCGGTTCATTTTTCTTTCCAGAAAATCATTATAGCAGTATTATGGAAAACAAGTCTCATGCTTTGTAGAAGAAAAAAGCAAGACATGAAGAGAAACTCACAAACTCAGCTGGAATTGAACCAAATGACATATTGTGCATTGATAGAATTAGTACTATGACAAATATTTACAAAGAAAGATTTCCATTACGTACTAAGTTGGGATGTACACTTGTTTCAGTTTACTCTCAGCTTCTGCTGCTTTTAGACGTTTCTAAAGGGAAAGATAGATAAAATATTTTATATACTTTGCATAATAATTACTACCAGTTTATTAGATTAAGCACAACCATTAAAAATAGGAAAGCATAATAATTCAAAAAGGATCATTTTTTATCATATACAGATCTTAAAATGTAGTAACTTAAAGTCACTAGATTCTGAAGTACTGCTAACATTTCAGAGAAAGATTTAAAAAATAAAGTGATGAACAAATCCACGTCCCAAGTTGATAAACAGAATGTTAAAGTAATCATTTTTACTGTGCAAATTTAGTTTCTATTTTATTTCCTACTTGCTTTTCTGGGATTGAAAATTTTTTGCTTTAAGAAAAATGTTTAAAGATGATTAGTTTCCAAAGTCAATGTAAGAGAAAGAGATCATTTATTCTAGATGGAATTAAATAAGCATTTTCCCCAAATGTTGGGATTTATGTACTAAACTTTAAAACTTGGCTGAATTCACATCAAATTTTACTAGAGCCAACTAGGAGCCAAATGTAGGGAAAGGAATGGGAAAGAAACTGTATTATCAAATCCAGGGATTGATCAACACAATAATAAAATGTAAATAAGGAAGGAAATGAGTTAAAGACAAACCAAAATTTAAGGCAATCCTTCATTTTCCTGGTGAAAACAAAAACATTTAGGGGCTAACTTGAAACTTTTAGAGACAGAATTGACTGTTTGGGAAATAATTTTATGCAAATACTTCTCAATCATCCTTGATGTCACCAACTTTACCATGTTTAGGAAGCTCTTTTGATTTAATTTGAGTTCCTGGGTGTTGCAAAAATTTAACACACTTGGCTGCTAACTGAAAGATTGGCGGTTCAAGTTTCACCAAAGAGACACCTCAGAAGCAAGGCCTGGTGACCTATTTCCAAAAAAAACAGCCACTGAAAACCCAAGTTCTGCTTTAACACACACAGAATTGTCACAAGTCAGAATTGGCTCAAAGGCAACTGCTTTTTTGGTTTGAATAATACAGGCTCCTAGAGCACATGGTCTTTACATCTATCTAAGTTGTTTGAAACTAGCATTTTTTTCAATTATTTATGTTGACCTTGAAAACTTTTCAACAAGCCATAGCAATTATTTACTATCCATGACCTCAATAACATGACAATTCTCCCTATGGGAATTTTTAACGTGATCCTTAAAATGCTATTTTTGCAGCATTCAGTACCTGCCTGTGTGTAATCACACACTTGGGAAACATAATGTCTGTTTTAAATGTATTTGTCCATCTTTTACTACTTCTGACATGAGACTGTAAGAATATAAAACAAGTATTGACTAAAGTCATTTCAGAGCCATGTGTTTTTCCCTCACAATAAAATTATTCAAAGTGAATTAACCTAGAATCTTACCTTAATGTGAGACATTTGGGAAGCACTCAAAAATAAAATGATTCCCTGCTTTTAAAAATAATTTTGGAGAAAACTCATGAACACAGTACCAAATATCAAACTAGTAAGATTAGCTATGACAGTACAGGTGAAATACTTAGGGGATATACCCACAGAAATGTCACGTAAGAAGGCTCTCACTGCCATTGAGTCAATCCTGACTCACAGCAACCCCTCCTTGGGTTTCCAAGGTGGTATCACTACGGAAGTAGATTGCCCAACCTTCCTTCCAAAGAGTGGCTGGTCTAGGAGGTCCTTAAAAATATCTCAAATTACGGAGTTGATAGTATTACTCTAAATTTTTAATCCATAAAAATTACTTGTTTCAAAGGTTTGAAATAGCATCATGTCTTAGGTAATTCCTGTCAACTGCACTCAAGAGATGAAGCAAGTCACATGCAAGGAAAATAATGCCTCTGTAGTACTATCTTTCACTGTCACCTTTTCAAAATATTTATCATAATAAATTCTAAAGTTATGGAAATAACATTTAAAACTGAATTTTTAAAACATGTTAAAGATACGAAAGACAGGCATATGAGCTGAACATTTACATTAGGTAGATATACTCCTTGGAGAGATAAATCATGGGAGAATAGAAGGGCTAGTGCCTAAGGCACTTGACTGCTAACCAGAAGGCTGGCGGTTCAAACTCACCAGCCACTCCTCAGAAGGAAGGTTGGGCAATCCTACTTCTGTAGTGATTGTTGTTGTTATTGTTGTTATATGCCATCGAGTCGGACCTGACTCATTGCGACCCCTTCCTTGGGTTTCCGAGGCAGTATCACTATAGAAGTAGGTTGTCCCATCTTCCTTCCGAGGAGTGGCTGGTGGGTTTGAACTGCCAGCCTTCTGATTAGCAGTCAAGTGCCTTAGGCACTACACTATCAGAGTTCCCTATCTGTAGTGATACCACCTCGGAAACCCAAGAAGGGGTTGGTATGAATCAGGGCCTATTCCACAGCATATAACAACAACAACACATGCACAGGGAGCTCTGGTGGCATAGTGACTGAAGCATTCGACTGCTAACCAGAAGGCTGGTAGTTCAAACCCACCAATCATTCCTCGGAAGGAAGGTTGGGCAATCTACTTCTGTAGTGATACTGCCTTGGAAACCCAAGGAGGTGTTGCTATGAGTCGGATCAGACTTGATGGCAGTGAGTGAGTTTATATGCACAGGGAGACAGCTTGGGGGCAGGAGTGCATGGAGGGGAGGACACAGGAAGAGGTGACTATGGGGAGGAAGTGGGAGGGGAGCTGTTGCATTGTGGGAAATTATAGTCAATGTCATAGACAAAGTGTATGTGAACTGCTGTATGGAAGATGAATTTGCTCTGTAAACGTTCACCCAAATCACAGTAAAATTTACAAAAAAAACCTTAAAGATATGAAATAATGTTAATTTACTAGGGGCAAATTTATGGGCCCTAATATATGGCATAAAAGACTATTAAGCATAACCCAAAAAGCACAAATAGCAGAGGAGAAACTAGATTGAATGGGACCTTCTAAATATTAAGTTTTTATGTGCTCCCAAAGACTCCAAAAGAGTCAAAAGAGAACCTACAGATTGGGAAATAATGTTAACTTACAATAGTCTCAAAAAAAAATAAAGCAATTAAACTTTTAAAATTAAGTAGCTAAGAAATCCTGAAGTAGAAACAGAAAGTTGACTTTAATACTAGCAATTAAGTAGCAATATGAAAAAATTACCTGCTGCACATATCTGTCAGTAGTTTTCCACATGTAATAATATTCAATAATGCTAGTCAATGATTTCCAAGGGAGCTGAAAAATATTTAACATGATAATGAAAACAAGCTACTGTAAGAAACTGCTTCCCTTTTAAAACCCCTTCTTTAAAATAATCAGGCAACTATCTACATGGAAGATTCATTTTACAATAAATTTTTGAAGACAACAGAAATTAATTATTAGCAAAGGGTACCCAAAACACATTATATTCAATATTCATATAGAGACTCTAGAACAACACATCTATTTCTTACTTAACATTTTGTTAAAAATCAAAAACATTAGGACTAATAATACCAAGTGACTTACACATAAAGTTCTTATAGGTGAGCTGCAGCACAATTTTAGAAATGATATTTAAATAGTTTTAGCTCAAGTTTCATCACCTGTCTGTTTTGTGGAAGGTATGCCACCGGTATTTCAAATACCAACAGGGTCACCCATGGTGGATAGGTTTCAGCACAGCTTACAGGCTATAAGAGACTTGGAAGAAAGGCCTGGCAATCCACTTCTAAAAATTAGCCAATAAAAACCTATGGACCATAACAGAACATCTATCGCTCACTTCTTTGGACATCTAAACACTAGAGGAGGACATATCATGCTTGGTGAAAGACATCAACAGTGAGAGAGAATGGCCCAAAAGCCACTATGATAGACTTGAACACACTGGCAATTGTGAGGATGACGCTCTATTGTACATAAGACTGCCACGAGTCAGAGTCAACTTGACAACAACTAACAGCTTGGGTTATTTTAGCTTTCAGTGATTTCAACTACAACTGGGTTTATTGGGGCACTGGCATACTATTTCTCATCTTTTTCTAAACTACTCTATTTTAACCTGCTATGTTCTAAATAAAATTAAAGCTTAAATCTTCGAAAAAAAACATAGCCTAGTGCAGTTCCTATTATACAAATAGGAAGGCTTCCTTAGCTGTTTTCCATAGAAGTTCAAAAATGGCCTAACGAACTCCCACACACGAGAACCACAATAGAAAAATATATTTACTGTGTCCCAAGTAAAAAGGGGAGAAAGTAAGAATCTATTAGTTATCCAAATCAGGGCAGATCAAACTTTCAAACAAAATAACTCTTAACTATTTCTGGTTTTTAGCTGTTAGAAAAGATCTTACAGATAGGTGACTCAGCACTCCCTCTGACACACATCTAGGTTGCCCCAATGTACCATAAGGTTAAGAGAGCTCAAAGGGTATTTCCCAGACTCTGTCGCGGTTAGGGGTTTACTCATAATCCACATGCACAGCACCAATTCTACTATTCCTATCACTTCTACATTGTTTGGTCTGAAGAGAAAAGAACCAGATTTTAGAGAACAGAAATTATTTTAAGCTTACTGAGTGGCAACTCCCCAAACCAGTTACAAATGTAATCTTCCTCAGGACCAAATCAGAATACCCGTTGGCATTTGAATTTCAGCTAAAACAAATGTCATTTTCTCAAGTCCAATGAGCCAAAAGTGAGAAAAAGCAACTGCCACTTAGCTCCCATGATCCACAGATGTAATGGAATTCAAAAATGTCCTGAGGGATGCTGCAAGGAGCCTATGGCAAGTTCTCATAAGGGAATGACAGCACAGAGTTCCTCAGGCTTTTAAACATACTAAAACTTTTTCATCTCCTAACTATTCTTCTCTTGAGAAATAATCTTTGGCATGCAACTGGGCCTTAAAGTCTGAGAAAAAGAAATCAAATGACCACGTAACCTGAGCTTGCCATCACAAACCAGGTTTTATCTAATCCATAAAATCCTAATCAGCTGTGCCCATTATCATCAATCTCCTATTAAGGAACAGTAGTAAGGCCTGAAGACACAAGTCATATAAGTAGGTGGCTCATACTCTCAAAGTATGTCTACTCCTGATGCAGCATCATTTCTCCCTCCACTTTCACTTACGGTTTATTATAGGAATGCCCTATACTGAAGAAGAAAAATTTACATGTCGCTGATGGCCTGGCATGATATACCAGCACTAGCCAGATGTATACTCAGCGTCATCGAGTCGATTCTGACTTGTGGTGAGACCAGGTGTTACAGAATACAACTGCTACATAGGGTTTTCTAGGTTGTAATCTTTACAGAAGCAGATCACAAGGTCTTTCTTCTGTGTCGCCACTGGGTGGGTTTGAACCACCAACCTTTAGGTTAGTAGCTGAGTGCAAATTGTTTGCTGAAGAACAGTGAGGAAGGATAGTAATCCTTTAAAAGGGTAGGGCATTAAATTGAATATCTAGTTTTCTTCTTTGAGTGGAAAGAGAGAGGACTGGAAATACTAATCCGTACCCATTCATGGACAGTGGTTACTTGTCCCAATGATCAGGAACTTGGAAAGAATCAGATTGGACATATGGTAACACTGAGATTTAGGAAAGAAATCTGAGGAACAGACATTTCAGGCCTGAGGATCTTTGTGTCTACAGGACTACTCAAAGGCTCCCTCCACAGAGGAGCTTGTCATTAATCAGGTGGACAAGATGACCAGCTCAATGCTATCAGGTGTCATTCCCTAGCTACATACCAATGATTGCTCAAAGGAGACATCAACAAAGCAGGTACAGAGGCAAGGAGACAAAGGTTACAAATGGATAGCACCACATGGATGTCCCTTCATCAAATCTGATTATTTCAATCTACAAGGAGCCAAGAAAATCAGACCCCTAACATGGCATCATTCTTGGTATCAATTTAGTTACATTAGAGTTTGTCTCTGTTCTCACTGGATAAACACTTACTTCAAATATGATTTGCCTTTTCCGCCTGTAATGCACTGGCTAACAATACCACATACAGAACTTATTTCCACATTAACATCACTTCTGCTGTAGGGATGAAGGTTTAGGTTTGGGTCATCCTATGAGGTAAAGAACTCTAATCACAACAAGTACTTAGGGCAAGCAAACAGTGGAGGGATTAGGTTTTGAATGCCAACCAAGGTCTTAGGATAAATTTCAGAAATGGAGAAAGGAAGACTACCCCCATATCTTTTTATTTTTATATAAAGTCTATGGTGGCTGAGGAGGGAAGATTGGGCAATCTACTTCTGTAGAGATACCGCCTCAGAAACCCAAGGAGGGGTCGCTATGAGTTGAATTCACTTAACGGCAGTGAGTCTAGTTTTTTATTGCTGGTCATGGAAAGAAGACGGGGCAATCTATTTCCATAAAGATTTACCACCTCAGAAACCCAATGAGGGTCACAATGAGTTACAATCAACTTGATAGCAGTGGGTTTGGTTTGGTATTTTATTGGTGTGGGATTTACAAACTGCAGAAGCTTGTTTACAAGCTTACAGAAGTTACAAATTATGAAAACAAAGTTGTGACTAGAACCAGAGAAGGAATAAACATCACCAGAGATGTATCTGTGACTGATTCAATTTGGGCCTATCTACTAGGGGAAATGGTACCATGTTTTTAAATGATTCAGGGATAACTCCTATTGTTTAAAAGTTGAAGTAAGCATATATGGAAGGTAAGTAAGAATGTCAAGCAGCCAAAAAATTAGATGGTGGCAGATACTGTACATCTGTTTCCAACCAATTTCTTTCCTTTGATGCTACAGGCTAGATTCTCTAAAATACATTTACTAGATACCTTGAACAGGGATGCAGACATAAGGGTGGGTCAGGTTTAGTGAAGCTGACAAAGATATGGAAGTGAACAACGTCAGGATGAGCCTGCACGGAGGGAGATTAGATAAATTGGCAAACAGCAAGGTCACGGGTCACCCTAAGAGGCACAGGGAGTGTCCTCCCTGATTTATGGTTGGTGACACTGAGGCTGAGAGAGGTGAGGCAGCAGATCTGGGCTCAGCCTCTGTGTGTCTGCTCAGAAGGTCCCGGTGCCTGCACCCCTCGGAGTCACCTTGGGCCGGCCCACACCTGGCCCTCTGGGTGGCCCAGACAGCAGGGGAGGCAGGGAAAGGATTTCTGGCATCCCCCCACCACGGCATTTAACAACACAACAGCAACCCCACCCCCCAGTCCTGATGGGAAGTAGAGCTGGGATGGGCCAGTGGCGCTGGGAGCACTCCCACGCACATGTCTGCTTGGCTCTACCCTTTGTTCGGTTCTGAACATTCTGAAACTCGACTGGGGCCAGCTCAGGCCGCTGTGGTACCCTACACTGAGGCTGTCCATTTATTTTTGGCAGCTACACTATTCCTGGAAATATAGCCTCCAAGTTTTGTTCTCTGTTCTTAGCACAGATTCTGTGAAAAGCTACTATACTACATCATATATATATATATATTCCCCCCCCCCTTTTGTTTTTTGAGATCTACACTACTGGCTTTTTAGTTATACTTGTTTCATTTGTTTAGTGGTTTGCCTAGGGTCTATAATATACACCTTTAACTGATCACAGTCCACCTTTAAATAAGACAGCACTCCACCTTTAAATAAAACAGCAGTCCATGTAAAGTATAAGACCCATAAAAATCAATGATATTTTGAAGAGATTAAAATAAGAAA